TTTTTTTACAGATTGATCACGAAAAGCGGCAACATGATCGACTTCACCGAATACGCAAGTACTGCAACGATTCTCGAAACAACAAGAACATCTTCCACGAACTTCCAAATCGAAACCATTTCAACTTTGTTGTCAGCGAGAAGCACAAATTCATCATATGCTATGTACCAAAAACTGGATCAAGTCAATGGAAAGATCTGCTACTTAACATCCTCGCAACACACCCGGTGACACCAAATCATGACATCTCATTGTTTGATTACACCATCTTTAAATTTTTGAATAGCTATCCATCGGACCAGAGACAACGTATGCTGGATTCTTACCAAACGTTCTTCTTCGTACGGGAGCCTTTTGAAAGGCTGTTGTCGGCTTACAGGGATAAATTTGCGGGAAAAACGACTTCTTTGTATGAAGAAATGGGGAAGAAAATTGTTCGTGAAGTTCGCGGTGATTCCATGGGAAAGAGTTCTGGTGAGAGACCTACATTTGATGAGTTCACTTCTTACGTTGATCGGCTGTCCGATCCGTCCACATGGGACATGCATTGGCGACCATCACACCAAACTTGCTATCCTTGTGCTATTAATTATGACTACGTGGGTTACTTTGAAACCATCAAAGAAGATGCAGATTACATTTTAAAAAGACTGGGCTTGGACAAGGAAGTAGAATTTCCTCCGTTTAAATCAGGGACTCCAAAACGTCTGGAGACTCACTATTCTCAGATTCCTCTCGACCGTATCATCAGACTTGCTGAGATTTACCGCGTAGACTTCGAAATGTTTGGTTTCAAGTACCCAGACTCCATCAAAAAGCTCTTTAAGGACTGGGTTTGAAATTTTGTCATGGAAATCATTAAATGAATGCAGTACCATGTCGGGGGCAGCGCATCATCTTGAATCGGACGCAACTGTGTTTATCTGATGTAAAAATTTCAAAGGATCGTGTGTTTATCAGCGTTGTTTTTTTGAAAAAACTGTTTCCAATTCAGGTGAAGTGCCCCAAAGTGGCCAAACAAGGGCAGAGTTGGCGTTTTAAAAGATCAACACGTAGGCGGAGTTTTTCTTTCAGTAAACACCTTTTAATACAGCATTGAAGCAGCACCTGTGTGTTACGAGGAAGGATTTTTAACATAACTCGAGGCCAAGCTGACAAAATTACAACGTCTCTTCAGTTCAAGTAAAAATAAGGAGTAACGCATTTAGCTTTTAAAATAATCGATGGTTCATGTTGCCCACTGCAAGTTTCTCCAATTACGACATTTATTCAAGGAAAGTAGTAAAAATTCTTAAATAACATTAAACAGCATATGGTTTATGATATTTTTCAATGATAAAGATTTGTTCGCTTATAAATAGTTTAATCACTTCGATTTGAATATTCTTGAATTTTGAATCTTAAAGAAATGTTTTCTCTTGATATGATTTATAGGACTCAAAATTAAATGTCGTGATGTGATATATAAATCGTGAAAATTGTTGAAAAACGGTGCCTTGTAACAAGATATGTTGGTTTTAAAAAGCTTTTTGGAATAATGAATATCATTTACAGTCTTTTAGAGGAAATTTAATGTTATTTTACGAAACAAAAATGAACGATTGGCGTATTTTAGCAATAATGAAGTGCTTTTTAATAGCTTTAGAAATACATTTGACGATCTACATAATTAACTGATAACCCTTTATTCAAAGTTTTGCTAAAAAGGAAATAAGAATTCAAACAAAAGAAGATTTTCTAAGACACTTCGTTCACGTTTCATAGATGTTAAAAAAATTGCAATGTTTCGTGGCGTTGCAGTTAAATTTCAAACTTAATCATAGTGCAAAGCGCTCACGCAAGACATTTTTTAAAACCCTTTAGAAAGGATTAGTTTTGTTCGGACGCTTTAACCGTATTAATTACAAATCTGCTTAATGAATATTCATCGAGCAAGTATGATTTTAAGAGGTTGTGAAACCTTTGACGATTGGATATTTATGATGTGAGATCGCAACAAAAGATTTGCGCGCCATTCAAACGGACAACAACATTACACCAGCCGGTTCCCGCGATCACGGCTCTTTTACTGTCAAGGAGCCTTTAATTTCCAACTCCAAAAACTGATTATGAAAAAGGAAACAAAACGCTTGCTTGTCCGTGGAACATTTTTTGTACTTTATCTTGCCATGGGGATGTTGGTTTTTAGACAACTCGAGTCACACAATGAGCAACTCGGTATGCTGAGGGCAAAACAGGCCGTTGATCACATGTTGATTAAGTATAACATAAGCCACGATGTGATGAACGAATTCGTCGCAATCATAACCGAGGCTGAAAGTTGGGGATATACGAGTGGGTGGCTGGAGAAGTGGACTTTCACAGGATCCTTATTTTTCTCTGGAACTGTAATTACGACAATTGGTGAGTCGCTTAAAACATTGTAATTTTTTTTTGTTTTTTGATTTTAGAATTTGTACTTCTCCCCGACGTTAACGAATGAATATAATCAAAATTCTTTACAGACACATAAATAAGAAAAATCTTTCATATTTCTTTCGGTATGAAGACAAAAATATTTTCGGTTTCATTTTTATTCATTTTTGGTGACCACCCACAACAATTTAGCCGTTTGGTATACTAAAACTCCAAACGCCGGTAAAACCCAACGGTTACAAAACTTTGCCAATTGTTTCTCTGAGGGGACATATTATGTTCAATGTTGTGTTTTACGGAATGCCCATATATTCACCTTCTTGCTCAGTTAAATAATCGAAGAAAACGAAGGATATATTTTGTTAATCGTTTGCCTTTTATGAAATGATTATTTATTTCGACGTATGTATTTGAATAAATATTTCTTTCACCATGAATAACATCTTAAACACAGTTATAAGATTTAGAACTTTGGGAATATAACTCAACAAACGCAGTGAAATTCGATTTAGAATTAAACAAGCAAATGCTTTTTTAAAAAAAAAGTATAATAAAATATGCTGCTTCGCTTATGGTTTTTACAAATTCATTCAAGACATAAATCGAGCACGTGGCATTTGGTGTAGTAAAAGCCGTTCGACAGTCAACGAAATGTAAATAAACACAATAAAGACATAAATTATCGTTCGCATGGTGACAAAACCGATTGCGTGTAGAATGGCAGGTGCGTTGTTTAAATATAAATTTATTTAAAAACTTTCAGCGCTAATTATCCTAAGCTTCCTCTTAAAAACTTGACATTCCTGAGACAAGAGATCGACTTTTTCTTTATAACTCTTTTTCTGATGATTTTTACTTAAACGGTTGAGCTCTGTAGTGACTGTTTTCTGTCTTCAAGAATTTTTAATCTGTTTCCTCGAGGCTTACTTCAACTCTGCGATGGTAATTTTATGACAGGTCGTGTGTACACCTGACTTTTAATTAAACTCTTGCCTCTGTAATCAAAAGACATCCAACTCTCAATTGAGAAACATTTCGACCAGCCAGCCATATATTTACATAAAATACAATATAATTTATCATAAATAAGCTTGCCTTTCAGTTTCTTTTAAAATCGTTAAGGATTTTTGGATTCTAAGAGAAATTGTTTACCGTAAATTCAGCAATGGAGTTGACCAATTGAACGATAAAGTTTAATAGTGCATGTCTCGTTTAGACGCAACACGTTAGGACATTCACGCCTAGCCTCTAAAACATTTGTCTTATTTTAGCAACAGTGCGTGCTATGATTGGGTGGCAAATCTGAATGAAAGGTGTTCACTTTGAGATCCTGTCCACAATACACCGGAGAAATTTTAAAACGGGGGTTTCACTCCGGAAACGCATCAAATGTTTTCCTTCCACACTACGCCGGAGAAATTTGAAAACGCAACAATCACCTGTCATTTTGCGATACGTCTTTGAGGAAAATTCGAGCAGGGAAGTTCCATGATTATCTTGATGTCCTCGTTTTCGAAAATCCCCTTTTTCAAAATGTTTTCCGCCCAAACCAAAACGCTAATGAAGCCGGCGTTTCGAAACTCCTCAGGCTTGAAGAGCGTTTTCGAAAAGCTCAGTTTCCGTGACGGATTGGAATGTAGGTCTAACCGTAGAAATAAAGCTACCGTTTTCAAATTTCTCCAGGCGTAGTGAGGATGGGGCCTATCAGACGAAGTACGAAATGTAACAGCTGTAAATGTATTGAGTAACAAGACGTAAATGGTTGGTTGAGAACTCAGGAATCTAGCCTGACAAACTGTAAAGCGTTGCCGTTGTTCAATATTGCCAGCGTTTGAAAGTTTCCCCGGCGACGGTTTAGCATTTGCCTTTCAAAATGGCGCCGAATATCTTCTTGTAACTCACCAAATTAAGAGGCCTTACCCCCATTTTGCAAGTGCTCAAAATTATTCTATAAATTTGAAGCCTTTTTTTCGCTATATATGACTAATTTTAATTGTCCCCTCTCAACAGGTTATGGACACTTTGCCCCTAGAACCTTACCTGGTCGCCTGTTCTGTATGGTTTACGCCTTATTTGGCATACCGGTCACGTGGCTAATGCTGACGTCACTGGGAAGAAAAATCGTGGAGTACATTGGATTATCGCTACAAAACAGGGAATGCAAACCGGAAACTAAGCTGTATAACCTGTTTTGTCTGCTGGTTGCTACACTGTTAGCGTTTTTCGTAATGATGGTCATAGCTTTGGTAGGAATGTTTGCAGAAAACTGGACATTTTTTGAAGGGATGTATTTTGCTTTTATAAGTGTAACTACAATAGGATTTGGCGATTATGTTCCAATGCATCCGAATTTCAATCCCAAAGATGTGGAGCGGTCTTCCTTTTCAATATCTTTGTTTGTGTTGTTTTGCTTTTTGTTGTTTTCGTTCGGACTCGCTGTCAACACAAGTGTGTTGTTATCAATACGAAAAATAATGGAGGATAAAACTATCTTTGGGTTCCACTCGCTGTATAACAGCGAGAGTGATGACGAAGAAGATACAATCGACGAAGAAGAAGAAATAAACAGGAACACAAAATGATATCGACAATATAAAAAAGTGTTTCAGTAAGAGGGTACAGCCGAGGAATCATAGCAAAAGAACATACCACTGAGTAAGCGGTAGATTTTGCAGGAGACAAATCCCCGGAAGCATAAAGCAAGAAGATTCCCCGGAGCGGATAACCAGGAGAAGTCGCAAGGAAAAATAACCAGAAGAACATGAAAGGGACAGCCGTCGACCAAAATCCAGTTTGCAAAACCTAGACATCATTACTAAGATAATTGTTTAGGATGTTTTTGGCCTCTCTGTAATTACTTTTACTGTTTGAGTAATAAAAATAAATGAATAAAAAGCCAAAATGAACGACCGAGTGCGTAAGGGGAGATTTTTAAATGGTAGTTTTAATGACACTTTTTATTGTTATCTATGCGAGATAACACAAAATTTTGTAGACGGATTTTGAACTCTTTTTCAAATAGTTAAAATTTTACTTTGTCCTAGTTTGAGAAAACTATGTTTCACAGATTTCTACTTTATTTTGCATGCATACTTAATTAACCTAGGTTCGTTCAACAACCCTTTTATCGGTTAGTTCTTCTCATTTGCATTATAATGTAATCCGACGTGGATGCGAGGCAATTTCGGATAGAAACTACAAAATTAATTTCTCGAAATTGCCTCGCACACATCTTGGATAATATTGTAATGCAAATGAGAAAATTTAACGCTAGATGGGTTACTAGATTAGATATAACAGCGTTTCTTCTTGGATTATCTGCGAGCTGGAAATGCTTTTTAAAAGGAACTTTGAAGTTTGGTTGGGCTTGACCCAGACCTCTGAATCGCGTGTCTACTGCACTAAAAGGTATCTGTCGAGACGTGTGTTGAAGTTTTAACACGTATCTTGAACCTCCGGTTAACTTGCATGTGAATATAGTTTGGTCTTGACAGCTAACCTTTGTTGCAGAGGCGAAGGTCGATTTCTGAGCCTTTCCATTAAAATTAAATTCCACTCTTGGCGACAATAATGAACTTTCTACATTGATAAATAACTATTTTTATAATAAAAGTGGTGTTGATTACATGTATATTAATCTTGATCTGTGAAAGAATGAATGGTCTCTTTAGGTCGGAGTGCTTTCTCAATCAAGTTTTCCATGAAATACAAATACAATTTATATATACTTAGCTCTCACGAGTTGAAAATCTTTTCATGTATTTCCATCTATTCAATATCTTTAATGACATCTTGGTATTTTAAGCGTACGAATGTCTAATGAGATATTTGGCTTCCTGTTCTCTGATTTAGAAAGATACATCCCTTCATTATTATAGCAGAAAGGAAAATAAAGTTTTAAGGATACTGCCATCTTTATTTTACATTGAGTCATTGCAAATTTTCTAAGCTTGTAGTATGCTATGGTTGGGTTTTAAATTTAACCTTCACTGGCAAATCTCTCTGCGTGCGAAAGTCGTTTTGAGCTAAAGGTTACCCATAAAACCACTTTTACAAGCATATAATTATACTTAGTAAAGTAATAAGATATTAAGGTGTTAGGAAAGAATACCGCCAAAGTTATCAAAGGTGTCATCATATTAGAAGGAATAAAACGAAATGTCACTGTTGACAAGTCAATTTTACAGAGGTTTTTATAGATAAAATCCGTCATTTTTTGCGGAACTAGATTAATCTACACCACATATATTATTGATGAGATAAACAAACTGGCTTAGCCAGCAGTGCTGACGTTTCTGCTATACTAGCAGCTCTGCATAATTTAAAATCGTGTTTGATCGTCTCCATGGAGTGGTGAAGATAGCGCTCGCTCGCTCACTCACTCACTCACTCAGTCACTCACTCAAAACAAGACAATGTTTCACCCATATAGAGAATATATAAATATATAAAATCACCTCGTAACCAAGCCTGGTGTATTAGCTCAGAAAACTAAAACTGTGTGTGTTCGCTTGCAAATTAAAAAGATAACTTTTAGTTTAATTTAATATGTACTTATTTAGTCCCAAATCAAACAGTTAATGTGTAGCTAAACAGTTGACCTTTTTGTCGATAGTAACTTCAGAGGATGGCTCGCTCCCGCCTTATATGGGGACGAGTCGCCCCTCGGGGTATGCTCTTGGCCTTTTTGCCCCGAACAGGATGTCAAGTGAGTATGTCCTTAACACGGTCTGAAATAATCGTAGTTGCAGGGTTGTCAATATCCTCCACTTCCATCCATCCAATCTTTAATCTTAAACAGAACCTCAGAATAGAGGGTGGGGGTAGCTATTCTAAGGTTTCTTCGTCTTAAACAAGATCAACCTTTCAAATCTAAGGCCACATCCCAATATCTGAACGTAGGTCGTCCCCTTACCCCCTCCCCCATCCCTGTAACCATGGTAGCAGGTGACTCAGAGTATTTTTATTTCATTTAGAGGGATTGTTTATTCCATGGTAAAGATCTCATGAAGACTTCGACTGTATGACCACTTTAAAAACAATCTGTGCACGCCAATTCAAAAATTCAGTGGAAAAACTAATAACAGATTAATATATGAATAATACATCAACAAAAAAATTGATTTTAAAAAAATGTGTTTGTCCCTTATTCATAAATATACTGCATACGTCGGTTTATAAGATGCTAAATAATAAATAAACAACAAATAAATATATAAATAAATGAAATTATAAAATAAATAAACATGCCGCATTGTGACCAGTTTGAAAACAATCTCATTATATTGGCGTCACTTTGCAAATATATTGAGCGTACAAAAGTCGAAAAAGTAAAAACTGTCCATATATATGTCCGTTTATGCAACATTTTTATTATGTGCCACGTTAAAAATAAATTTCGCGAGTCGGCTGATAAAAAAATATTGCATTTGCAACTGTTTAAAAATAAACATGGTGGGTGTTTCTAGAAAGGCAAATAAGTTTCATTTCTAAACGTAGAAGAGAGTAATTGCGCCGAATTTACTAATTAACGGACTTTCGTGGGCAGCAGAAATAATTCAATATTTTCAATCTTCTTTGGCCCTCGAACAACGAACTGAAATCTTTCGCGTTATTCAAGTTGATAACTTGGAATCGAAACAAAAATAGAATTTAGAAACAAGGAAATCATGCTCATTTCCATGTAATGGCTCAAAAGCCCGGAAAGAAAATACAAATATATGAGATTGACTCTGGCGACAGTATTTTTAAAAAGATTAGAGGCACAAAGACTGACAAGTGTCGTGTTAATTGCCTAGTGAATAGATGAATAGATTGAATTTTACCTGAGAACTATTTCCTGTTTCCAAGTCATTCAGCGAAGAAACCAGAAACTTTCAAGGACCGACGAAACGACTTTAGGAAAATGCTTTTAAAATGTCAGTTAAACCACATTTATCATGATAAAGCCACGACTGAAAGTGATATCCGATAGTTATCTCATCCCAGAGTGACAATTCATACTTAAGAAACCGGGTTCGAATGACATTGAAATTGCGACTCTTATTACGAATAGAAAATCCAAAACAACTTTTAAACTCGTGGAATTTTTCATTAGACACCGAAATATCACTGAGACGTTTAATGTGTTGAGGTTGCCCAGAACAAAAAACCGCATATAGCACATCAATTTAAGTAACCCCTAAGGACATTGTTTAAAATTCCTTTTTGCAATAGGCTGAAAATGGTGTTTTATGGCTTTAGAAAATCGTAAACACCGCTTTATCTCTAACAACTGCGAGTTCCCACTGTTTCCCCAGAGCTGCTACGGAAAACTCTTTAACTTCTCATTCTGTTTGTTCTCAAGAGATTTCATTCCTGTTTTAAGTTCGAACTGAAAATAACCCTGTCATATTTCGACCTGACTTGCAGCTTTTATTGCGAAAAACCGCAAATGAATGGTCAATACAAGAAAAAATGGAGGAACGTTGTTGTCAAAAAAACGCGTGGGTAGTACGCGCATGCGTATTGGATGAACTCCTTCGGTTCCGATGACCGGTAATTTGGCGCTCCTACGCAAAGTCACATAACGGCGTAAGTTTGGCTCATTGTACATGAAAATTTCCTGCATACAATCGAATACAAGGGCCTTGACGTCCCCACCAGGCAGCTTAATTACCTCAAAACACGTATAAAAGAATGGCCTCATAAAACTAAGGAAACGTCAGGAAATTAGAGAGGGACGTTTTGTGTTCAACGAAGAAAAGACAGATGTTATTTAGCTAAGATTTACGACCTGAACGACGCTTAAACGCGAATATAATATAATCCGTTCAAACTATGTTTAAACGAAGGGAGCTTTAATCAGTCGAGAAGGTGAACTATGTGGATCGCGGAGGGTTCGAGAAATCTCGTCATTCAAATTGGAGTATTTATGGTTTATGTTTTTTTGGGAGCTGTCGTTTTTCAGGCATTAGAGTCACACAATGAAGAAGAGGAACGAGAAGCCATGCTCAAAGCGAGAAACCATCTCCAGGAAAAATACAACATTTCGCAGGACGACCTGAAAGTTTTCATCAACAAAATCGAAGAGATTGTGGATCATGGTTTCAGCCAGCACTGGGTGAAAAGATGGACTATTCTTGGTTCTCTGTTTTTCGCGGGGACTGTTGTGACTACCATAGGTAAGTCCATTATTAAGCTTTGACAGTAAACCATGGTACTTTTTACTTTTCCTGACAAAGTTTTCCACTCGTTCAAGGTCTATCACAGACATCTTTGACAAGTGAGAGATCGATTAACAACAACACAGTTGTCATTTTAAAAACGAGCACTTCAATAATGCCAGAAAAATCAGTGAGGGATTATTCTTTTATGTAAGAAGGTTACGTTTTGCAGTTGCAAGAAGTTACGTTTCTGTCGACTGCTTGAAAAAATGAATTTTCTATTTACGTATGTTCTACCAATTTATTCGGCAGTTTTGCACGTAATGGGTTACTAACAGAGATGAAAACCCATTTTGGTGCTTCGTTGGTGGCATATTCTAAGTAGGGTTCCATCTGTATGTTCCTAAATTCATTTAGTAAAAGTCAAAAGACAGAGGTAATTTTTTTTAAATCTCTGCACGAAAAATGTTAATTATCTGGAGACAGGAGACATTAAATTGTAAACTACCAAGACTTTTTTTTTTTCGTAAGAGCCACGTTTACATGAACATAAAATATGCAGGGAAGGTTGCAATGTTGATAAGAGCAAACGTAAATTTTTTTTTTTTTTTTTCTATTTTCTTTCTAATTACTTGGGAAAATAAATCATCAATTCACCAAATAGACTCATATTCCAGACTGGAAAATGACTTGTCTGAAACACTAAAGTAAAACTACTATCAATTAAATTTCGGCTGTTTACAAAACCATTTTAGAATTTTAAAACTCGTCTGTTACAATATTATATTTCCAAGTTTTGTGCTTTCGTCCCCATTCTGGAAGAAAGACAAATGTGTTTTCATGTTATATTTACAGTTATAAAGAGGCTTGATTACTGTGAAAAGCACAAAATTCTACCCAACTA